AGACCCGGACTCAGTACCCAGCAGATGTCCAGGGCATGTTTGTTGAATGAGTAAATGAACGGAGGCAGGAACAGCTGATAAGGTGGATGGAGAGCTCCGAAGGCTCCTTTCTCTCAACGCTGTCGCCTCATCTGTTTATATTTGCTTTCTAGTGCCAGAGGCTTGCCTCTGTGGTTCCAGAAAAAGGTTTACTTTCTGTGGAGTGGTCTCCACCCTTCCTGCTCTGAAACAGTCATTCTGCCTGTTCTACATGGGAGCTTTACCTATTCATCCTTGTGCCTTCAGAGGGAGGCTATGAGCCGATGGCGATAACAGTGTAAAGATATATATATATATATATATATATCCACATATATACACACACACATATATATCGATATATATACAAAGAGAGAGAAAGAGAGAGAGAGAAGCATTAAGGGAGACCCCTGGTCTCACTTAAATAATGCTTTATGTTTTGTTTTTCCAAACATAAACATTATTTGTTATGATTTTAAACTTACTCTCTGTATTTCACTGAAGTAATATAGGCATACAGTCCAAAAAAATACTAAAGACTTACTGTGGACAGTAACCCCTCTTCTCACTTCCTCTCTCCTCATTTGTCAACACAGCAAAGTCGCAACTTTTGGTTAAAGTCATTATTGATGTTTACATTGTATTTTGGATTTTTATACCCTGATGGATTTTGTGCATTAAGAATAGTGTTCGCTAAAACAATGAAAGATGTTTAAAAAAGAAGAGTGTTTCCTGCAGAGCCCGCAGGGTTTCCTGAAGCAACAGCTAGCATTTATTGAGCATTTACTATGAACTAGGCACCACCGTCATGTTATAATTCATGCGGCTGTATGTGAGGTCAAGTACTGTAAATATTCCCATTTTACAGATGAAGAAACTTGAGGCACAGAAAGGATAAGTAACTGACCCAAGCCCATAAGGCTGCATATTCTAGCTCCAGAGGCCGAGCTGTTAGCCACTATGAATGCTCGTCTGTTGGAAAATTTTACCAAGTAAGGAAATAAAGATCCTAGGCAAGAATTTGACGTTGTACCAGGATTTGGGGACGCAAATTTAGTTAACTTGGGAGACAGAATGTTCAATGGGAGAAGCCCAAGGGAAATAAGTGTATGCTATAAAGCAGAATAGTTTGTTTTTTTAATTGGTCTGTTTATTTTTGTAACTACTTCTTGTGCCTCCTTTCCCAAGCCCTCAAACGGTCCTGGGCATAGGATACTAATTAGTCTACCAGGGGATCTTCACGCAGATTCTGGACGGAGAGGCAACCAGGGCATTCCATGAAGACCCCCAGATGTTGGGTTGCTTCAGTATGAGGACGTTAGTGCTGGAGAAGATGGGGTTTGTCATTATGGATGTATTACTGGGTGGGAAGGCGCGGAAGGAAGCGCAAGTTCCTTCTTACCTTGGGGAGCAGCAGCGTGGGTTTTCTTCTTCTGTCTCCTTCTTCCCCACCTAACACATGCACTTCGGGACATAGAGAACTTTTTTTAATAATCCCAGTGTTACAAACTCACCCAGAACTCATCCCCATCTGATTGATTCCTTTTAAAGTCACTTCTGTTGATCATAAAAGAAAGTTAGCAGCAGATCTATCTGCAAAGCTTGGGAGAGACGGGATAGGGCCAGGAAGTTGTTCATAGCGGAGGAACTGACGGGATCCAGAAAATGGGGAATGATTCCATACTCACCTAAAGCCAGCCATGCCAATGGGCCCCTTCTAGATCTAAAAACATTAGTATTATATATATGCACATACACGGGTATACTTTATGTCAAAAGCGAGGTACAGAGATTTGGTGGGAAACAAACTGTTTTCAGCGCAGTGGAGCCATGACAGAAGTGATCTGGCCCCTTCTGATGTAATCTGAGGAATGAAATGCTGGACATGACCCCAAGGGCATCACATTTACCCAGATGTGTTGTGGTTTGCACAGCTTGCAACTGTTTACATAGAAAGGATGGGCAGCAGCAGGGAACGGGATATCAGCCAACAGCTTCTGACGTGCGTTTCAATGAGCCGCCCGACAAGACCAACAGGAGGAAAAGAAAAATCGTGAGCAGGTGTGAGGGAGCCAGAGAAAGACGGTCCTGCTTCCCCGTCCTCTTAATCAAGTCGGCACAGTGTTCTGCTGCCAGGACCTTCGGGCTGGGGGCAGTGGCCATGCTGAGTTCCTCCAGTGTGGGGTCTGATTAAGGGGGCCCGCAGTCCCACGATGAGTCCCCTGTGCCTCCCATGAAAGGAAAGCTGGCTTTCTGTAGCAGTGGTTTTACCGTAAATAGTCCCAGACGGCTCATTCGTCTGCACAGAGGCCCTTTGGCAAGCACCCGTCCTGATGGCTGCGTCGCCATGGAAATGAGTGACATGTCGGTGACGAGTTGTCTATTTCCAGATGGACCTCTTCATTCCTTTGAGAAATTTGACAGACCATTTTTATGTATTTGCTTTGTACACATGGTGGCGTATCCGAGGGTCTTGCTGGCCTTTTTGTTTTCCACCAGGATGACTTTCGTGCGGTGTGCTGTGTAAGTACTGATGATAGGTCCGGCCTTGTAGGCGTGGCTGTTCGTTCGCCTTTCTTTGTAGCGTCTCAGCGTGGTCGTCTCCCCCGGGCGGCGGCTAGCCAGCCGTGCTGGTTAATGACACGCTCCAACCTATCCTCTTGCTAAATTGGGGATGGTTCTGTCTTGACGTTAAAAAAAAAAGTCTATAGCTGGGATAATGCTGCTTTGAAAATCAGGCAGCTAGCAGCTTTTCCATTTCGCCGAAGTAAAATATTAGAAAAATATTAATAGTGTGTCTGCTTCTTTCAGTTCAGTTGTGTTCCCTGGAGGGATGAAGGAGACTGAAGACTGCGTATGGCTAGGGAGCTCAGAGCAGTGGGGGTGGCTCAGGTGGGCTGGGAGAGGACAGGGGCAAGGGCGGGGCCCTCCTCTCTGGAAAATACCTTCACGGTGCAGCGGCCAAAGGGCCAGTCGGTTCTCCCAGAACATTGCTTAGGTCCTAAAATGTTGTGCTTTTTCCAGTCTGTCATGTGAGTGTTTGGGTCCTATAGATGAAAATCATACAATCCACTGGAATTGTGTTAAAACATATGCTATGTATGTGTGTGTACAAGCTATATTTAAATGATTAGAGACTCACCATAAGTAACTACAATCACAATTTAGATCAGTTAAATATTAGTAATTATCCCAGAGAACCGTGGTTTATAAATATTAATGTCCCAAACCGGTTAAGGGGAGGCCCATCTTGAAGTACTATTTTTTCTTTATTTTTATCTCTGTAATCATGTTGAATGTATAATGTGTCCGTCTTTTTTTTAATTAACAACTGATTTTCCAAATTCTGAGTAAATAATCCTGAATTAAATGTGCCAGTTTTATAATTTACTTTCATTTTTTTCTCTTCTAAATGAATACCAAATTGGAATGTGAATTTCTCGTGTGTTGTAGTTGTAGATCAGAATTCATTGATTAACTTGTCAGCGCATTCAGGACTTGGTGGCCCTAAGGGCTCATTACCGTAGCCTTGCACCAATCTTTCCAATTCCTTTGGAAAGAAGCAGAAGCAATCACCACCTTGAATTGTCAGGTGGAAAAAAACAGTTGGCTTAGCCAGGAACATGGAGTCTTTGTCCAGACATATGCAAATGTGTTACTTTCGTAAGGATGATAATTTTGAGAAACCTTCGAACGGTATAATTAGCTGTTGAAATGTTACTATAACAAATGTCTTTGGGGCTGGTGTCTTAAGGGGATAGTGTGAAGAAGACTGGAACTAAAGAAAATGGTATAAATAAAGGGAAAGAAATTACATGAGAATATAGTCGTTATATCAAATTAATCATAGGCAATAAGAGAATAGATTGCAACTTCCTGAGCTGACACACAGTCTCTCTTAGTGATTGGCATCTTTCAGGTAGCCTCTCATAGATGGACATTATTTCATGTCACATGGTAGGCAGTAGCCCGTGCATTAGTTCATGAAATTTTCTAAGTCCGTAATTCCAGTGATTTTTTTCCCGACAAATCAGACTAAAGATGACTCAAAGTCATACCTATTTTTGACTTAGTGTGCCCAAGTCATATCCTGTTGACGGGAATCCGATGCCAAGGTCATCACTGTCATCACCAAACCCTCCACCCCGGAAGAGGGCTTTGGCTGTAGGTTTTCCTGAGTTTGTTTCATGACGTTCGGCCATGTCAGGGTCTGTCCCATGCTCTCCCTGTCTTGTCCTGAGGTTTGGGTCTCGCCAGGACCCGCTGTGCTCTCCAGCCCTGAGTGATACACCCCCTGTTACATCCATTGGCTGTTATGTCTCTTTATACATGTGGCTTTCAGAGAAGTTAAATGAAAGTGTGTGTGTGTGTGTGTGTAGCGTATGGTATAATTGCAGACTGCTCCACATTTAATATGGCAGTTACAAACAGGAAACACTTATTCCTTCTTGTTTCTATCTAGTTGTTGATCAATTAAACTCTGTAGTCTTAAACAGTACTTCACTGTTTTTTTTTCCCTGCCAGAGAGAAATTAAGGCGTAAATGAACTGCTGAACATCACTGCCTCTGGTGTTGGAACTCACATGCTCATAAGGAAAACACTAGTTCACAAGGAGAAACTTCTTTCTCAGGCTGTGGTGTGATAACGGCCTCATGTGTGCAGACTCCAAAAGGTTTTGGAGATGGAATAACCTATTTCCTCTGCCACCATTTGCTTTCTGTGACTGGACCAGGCAAGGACACCGTCATTAGCTGCCAGCACGGTGCTGAGTTTGCCCCAGTGGGCAGAGGACAGCACCTCATAAAAGGAGACTGGTTAAGCTCTGTCCAGATGTTTTAAATGGACCCCATAGAAAGGATGCAGGGAAATGGCTCCAACAAATGATATTATTGGACTTTTCTCATTGACACTTTCCTACCTTTGTGAAAAAGTTATAAAATTTCTTTTCTTTTTTCCTTTTTTTTTTTTTTTTGATACTCAGATGAGTATAGGATCAAACCGGTGGAAGAGGTCAAATACATGAAAAACGGGGCAGAAGAGGAGCAGAAAATAGCAGCCAGGAACCAAGAAAACTTGGTAAGAATGGAATTTCTCCTATTAAAAAAAAACGCATTTTGGTGACACCAATGTAATAAATTCCGCACTGCACATTTAAATGGCAACTTACGTACATCCTGGGCCCAAGACTTCTTGAAAATGCCTTCGCTATTTATAGCTTGCCTGGAAGCTGCCCCATTATTATTCCTGTATCCTGTTTGTTCCTGAATTAGCCCTTCTTTAATCTTGATAGAGAATGCTCCAGGGGAAACAATAGCCAAATTATTAGGGTTTGAAAATGGTTACATTTAAAGAAAAAAGCCTGAAGTGGGGTTGAGATGCACGGGAAGAGGACCATTCTTTTCTTTCTCTCTGCCTCCTTTCCCTCTTATCCGGGTCAGGGTGAATGGATCAGTTGCGTTATTCTGAACGGGGAGTGTGTTTGGGGAAGTTGCCTTTCATAGGAAAATAATGTGCTTCTAAGGTAGGTCTCCATCAAAATAGTCAGCATTTCACATCTGTCGCGGTAAAGGTGCTGTAGGTTTTGACTTCATGTGAGAATTATATAAGGACTAGAAACAAGGGTAGGAACCTTTTTCTTGAATATGAACCAACATACATGCTTCAACTTAACGTTCCATCGCTATGAAAACATTTAGTTAATTGTCATGTTAGCTGATTTCTTACAAGCGGTTATAAATTGTTAAGAGTATGCACGTCTTCAGCTGTGATGGAGCCAAATAGCTTTTCTATTTTCTTTTGGGATTATTTGCTATTTTCTCATGTTTGAATGAGTGCATTTCTAAGAAGCTTGCAGTGTCATAAAATATTTTCACTTTGACTGAAACTCCTTTTTTTCTGTTATGTGCTTTGTTTTTATGATTTCTGCCATAGCTGAGGGAGTTGGCAGAATGCTAACAGGGCCCGTGAGACTTAAAGCTGTCATTTTCCACGATATGCTAATGAACATAATGGGCTACTTCTTTTTCCTCTGTTTTTTTCTGAACATCTGATACATGACTCAAAACACTGACATATCAACAGCTAAGTGTTGTAGATCACTTTCAAGGAGTGGAAATACTTTGTAATAAAACCTTGCTCCAAAAATGGGATTTGGATTTTAAGGTGTCACTGAAGTCACAGAGATTCATTATAACCTGTGGCCTATTTTAACATTGACACTAAAATCCAAGAAAAGGTAGCTATGACTAAATAGGAGAAGTTAGTACTACCAGACTTTTATACACTGAACAGATAAATAGAAGACCTGAGTAGTTGAAGCATCAGTAGTCATTTTTCTACTTTATTTTACTGAAAATCAGAGCTTTTTCTTGCTGGATGTAATTTGGGCTTGATTTATGAATCTCATCTTTAATAATACTCCCACTGGAAGCTGAAGACACCAGTGACCAGCCTGGCAGGGGCCATTTCCTGGATCTAATGACCAGTGTGTGTCTTTTCTTCCCATGACCTTTATCTTACCGCTTGTGAGTTTGCCCTCAATGTGCTCTGGTCACATCTAGGCCAGGTCACCATTTTCCCTTTTCCTATCACTTCCTCGGTGCTAGTGTGTCCTTTTCCAGCCCTGTGGCCAGAATCTGCGCTAGGGCTTTGCTCTGCAGACCCAATGGGGATTCAAAGAGAGAAATTCTGGTCCTATTTGCTTGTGGATCCCCCGTGACAACCCCACACCCTTTATTCTGCCCGCCAATCAGAGCTCAGACCTCCCACTGGAATCTTTAAGTGTGTAAAGACTTCCAGTGAGGAATGGAGAAGAAATGGGAACCGTTGATTCGGAGGCCTCCAGACTGCCTTTGCAAAGTGAATGGTGTTCACCTATCTGGGCGCATGTCATCTTGGTCGCCTGTGCTACCCCTTTAGGGTTCTTAATTGGGTATTAACCATGCATGTTGCTTGGGAAAACTTCTGGCCTCCTAAATATGAAGCTTACATTGGGAGGTGGATGAAATAGATGCCAATTCTTGAGTTTAAATCCATGAAAACGATCTAAGAGTCAAGAAGCTTTTATGTGTCAAAGCATACTTCTTGGAATAGTTTCATAGGTCTAGAGCCAGGTTTTTCAAAATGCATGCAACAGTGGCAATAACCTAAAGTATTCATTTAGAACTTTCTCACAGTGAACTAATGGGAAAAGGAAGGAAAGGCTGACTCTCACATCCTTTATTCTTTTCTTTTGTTTTATACAATAATGCCTAACTCTCACGAGGCGCTTGTCACATACCAGGCACTGCACTCAAAATCTAAATCCTACACACCTCATGGGCTCCTCCCAACAGCGCCACCACGAGGCTGTCTTTCGCCGCAGCTGCTGGGCGGGAGGTTTAGAATAGTAACTTGATGCCACAATGAGCCAGTGGCCAAGCTGAAATTTGAACCCAGGCCATTTCTGCCTCCAGACCCCATGGTCATCAGTGTCACGTCTTCCTGCCTTGGATACGTTTGCCGAGCCCCTGAATTTCCACAGTTTGATTACCTATTTTATATAAGTACATAAAGTCCCTGTCTGTCCTCAAGGAGCGTACAAGAGTTAAGAGAACAGTTCAACAGATAGGTTAGTGATTGCCTCTGTGTACAGGGCTCTGTACTAGACGGCAGAACAACAGAAAAATCGGGAAAGCATGGGTGTTCACCCCTGGCAGCTGAGTTGCAGTGTTCAAGGTAAGCAGCAAATGACTAGAAATAAAACAGAGGGAGGTGGACTCCAACCCAGGAGGCAACAGAAAGTGCTGCGGATATCAGAGGAGGCCGAGATCTGTCTGCTGGGGCATCGGCTGCCGCTTCATGAAAGAGCTGGTATGTCCAGTGGGCCTCGCAGGACAGAATGGGAATGAGTGCCCCAGGCTGACGTAACAGAACTAAGAAATGCAAACCGGATTTAATAACAAGAAGAAGAGAGAGTGTCAGTGGGGCAGCAGTGGGAAACTGGAATCAAAATGTAGATGGGGTAATATAGAGAGAGCCTCAATGTCCAGCTGAGACGTCTGAAATTACCTCCATGGATTCAAGGGAGACTTCGAAGCTTTCCAGCAAGAGCTCGGCATGATGAGATTATGATTCGGGAAAGATTATGTGGCAGCAGCAGGCGTATATGGCTCGGTGTGGGGTGCACAGGCGGAGGTAATTCATAATAGTTTTTGCAAGAAACAACAAGCTTGAACCAAGGCAATGGCGGGGGGAATACAGGGTCTGGTACAAATAATACCCCCATTTTTATTACAATCTCATAAGCACGTAATTCTGTGACATAAAAATATCACAGACCAGCACACCATATGACATTTCCAGTGACATGTTCAAATTAAAACTATAAATTATGACACATTATTACCCGACCAACCACACTCAAGTAGCGGTTCCTTCTGCTGGGCCCTGCAGTAAAGATTTGGGCTGGGCTGTAATAGAAGCAACAAGGTTTGGCAGCTCATTATAGATATTAAGAAAACCCAGAAAAATTGGAATATACCAAGATTATGACCCCCTGGAAAGGTGACCGGAAGTAGTCATAATAAATAGTGATGTCCGTGAAGTGGTAGAATCACTGGGAGATTGCGTCTGCTGGAAATACAAGGCCCTCCTTCCTTCCTCCCTCCCTGCCTTCCTTCCTTCTTCACTCTTGCCCACCCTTGAAAAGATCACAGTGTGGTCCACAAGGGAGAAAGGTGAGCCACTGATCACACCATGTGACAGTATAACAGGGCCACTGACTGACAGAACACCTGTACTATACCGGGGTCTTGGGCTCTGTGCCTTGGAGGATACAGAGGCACATTGGACATAAAATCCCACCCTGCAGAGCTCACTTCCCAGTAGCAATTAGAAGGCCTGTGGCCTAAGTGACCACAACTGAAGGAACATTGTGAATGTAGGAGCTAGTGTTGAGCAAGCAAAGCTTTAGGAGCTTGCAGAACACCTACGTGGAGAAGTCTAGCAAAGGGCAAAAACGAGGGTGTAGAGATTAGGAGCATTGCCTGGGATGTGTTAGGTGTTCGATACACATGTGTTTGCTTGAATTGATGGGGCGCTGAACAACTGACAGCAGCTGGACCTGTAGCAGTTCGCGTCTAGTAGTTTGCTCAGTGGTATTTTGGTTGACATTCAATATTATACTAGTTTCCGGTGTGTAACGTGGTAACTCCACATTTTTATACACCTTACAAAGTGACCACCACAGTAAGTCTAGTACCTGTCTATCACCATGCATAGTTACCACAAGGTATTTTACTCTATTCCTTATTCCCATCACTTACTTTACAACTGGAATATTTAGATCTCCAGTCACTTGGGTCCTCTGACTGCAGTTTCTGTGGGTGGAGGAAATTCATGCTGGTTTTCCGAGGCTGATGGTGCATCCTTTATGTATCAACCATTTATGTACTCTCAGTATAGAGACATGCATTTACCCCAGTTTTCAACATCGCCGGGCATCATATGTTCCACTGTCCTTCTCTCAGACTTTAATTCCTTCCTGTGGACGGTGGTGTGAGTGGGAGATAATATATAGATATACAGCGATATTGGTCCTGGTTTCATCATTTCTAGCTTTGTAATTCCGGTCAAATACTGAAAACTTCTGAACTTAAAGCTGTTTATTGGGAACTGGGGAAGAACAAAGATGATTGAAGTGTTCCCAGAAAACGTGGGATGTGTTTAGAATCTTAGCAAAGGGAGGCTTTCTCAAACAAGCTATCACAAGCCAAAGCTATGGAAGAAGAAAAGTGGTTTTATTTCATTAGATTGAAACTCAGCTCTTCTATAAAACAATAAATGCTACACAAGTGGTTAATAGGTAACAGCCCGGGGAGAATATTTATGGCAGATAAATGGCAAAGGATTAATATCAGGGATTTATAAAGAACACTCGTAAATAATTAAGAAAAAAGAGAATCCATTAGAAAAGTAGGTAAATGAAACGAACAGACAGAGGATACTGGGAAACAAGCATAGAAAAAGATGCTCCGCATCACTCACCCCGTGGGTGCGCCGTCACCCATCACTACTCCAGCGGGTGCTCTCTCACC